CCAATTTTTTTTTTTTTTTTGAGACAGTCTCACTATGTTGCCTATGGTAGAGTACTATGGTGTCACAGTTCACAACAACCTCAAACTTGGGCTTAAGCGATTCTCTTGCCTCAGCCTCCCACGTAGCTGGGACTACAGGTGCCTGTCACAATGCCTGGCTATTTTTTTCTTATTGTTCTTGTCGTTTAGCAGGCCCTGGCGAACCCACCAGCTTTGATTCATGTGGCCAGTGTCCTACCCACTGAGCTACAGGTGCCGAGCCTCAGGCTTTAATTTTGGTTAAAAGAGAGACCCTTTGGCTCAGCATCTGTAGCTCAAGCAGCTAAGGCACCAGCCACATACACCAGAGCTGGTGGGTTCGAACCCAGCCCAGGCCTGCCAAATGACAGCTACACCAAAAAATACCTGGGCAATCTAGCGGGGACCTGTAGTACTAGGTACATGGGGGGCTGAGGCAGGAGAATTGCTCAAGCCCAAGAGCAGGAGGTTGCTGGGAGCTGTGATGCCACGGCACTCTACCCAGGGCAACAGCTTCAGGCTCTGTCTCAAAAAAAAAAGGGAGATCTTTAGAACCAAGAGATACAAGTTAGCCAAAATGGTAGACTTGAAGTCATTAAAAAAGAAAAATGTAAAATCTTAAAAGCTTTAGTTTCTTAGACATACACAGTACAGAAAATAGAATATCCTTGAGAAAGGCAAGTTACCAGAGTGGTCAAGAGTATGGCCTCTGCAGTGTGTGTCTTGGGCTCCCATCTTCTTTGTCTTAGCAGCTGTGGTGACTTTGAACAATAATAATACCTGTGACTCTTCTATGCTACAGTCCATCTTTAGCAACTAGCTACGATGATACTCAGCAGGCTTATATGTATGATATCAATAAAAGAAAACTTCCATTCTTATTTACAAGAATAAAATGTGTTGAAAGCACTGAGAAAAGTACCTAGCACCCAGGAAGTGAGAAATATTAGTTATCATGATTATCCTAAATCTTTTTTTTTCTCTGCAGCTTATTTTCAGTTGCTTTTTAAAGACAGAACGCTCATGGTGCAAATTGTTATTTCTAGGTGAGTACATTTTGAGATTTTTAAAAATGTAGCTTGAAATAATCAGGGGTATATGGGTTTGACATTTTCCTTGAAGAATCAGGGTCCTCAGGTGCATCTTGCACAAATCCTTGCATTTGACCTCTAGTTCAATGCCTAGCACTGCCCAATTTCCCAAGAACCTGTGTTGAACACAGAGTTTCTTTGGGGCTTTGAATGGTGGTATAGGACACTACTCATCCTTCACCCATCAAAAATATTGTAACCACCAGCCCTTTGCTTGCAGTGCGGGGGCTGGAGGCCTGGCAGAATGGGTGCTGATGGAGCTACAGGGGGAGATCGAGGCTCGCTACAGCACTGGATTAGCTGGAAACCTCCTGGGAGACCTACATTACACCACTGAGGTGAGGGGGCTTTTCTTTCCCTGCCTAATGCCTCAAGAAAGCAAGCTACACACCAAGGTGGTGCTCCCAGGAACCAGAGTGAGGACTGCCCTCAGGTTTGTTATTCAAGGTCTAGCTAATCTGTGAAGCT